TAAAAGACTAAAAATCCAGTTCTTCAATTTCTGTATGTAATCTTTTCCTAACACTGATCTATTAGGAAATCTGGAGAGGATTTTCTTTTCCCACTCTTTCACAATTACCCTTTCTCTTATGTTTTAAAAAATGTCAGTTTCCTATCTTAAACATTATTATGGAGGTAGTTGAACCCTCACATATCCTAGGTATGTGCTTTCAACTGATATAACCCCAGTGCTGAAAGAATTTTCTGGGGTACTCTATTCCTATATAGCAACTATTTGAGAAGCTTATAAAATAGATTCAGAGGTTTTATTTCTGGAGATTCTGGTTAAATAGGCTGGCAGGGCTGGAGAGATGGCCTAGCAGTTAGAGCACTCTCTGCTCTTCCTGAGGACCCAGGTTCTATTCCCAGCATTTACATGGCAGCTCACAACCATCTATAAGTCTAGTTCCAGGGTATCTGAACCCTCTTCTGACCTCCACAGCTACTACACACATGAGGTTCACATAGATACATGCAGGCAAAACACCCATACATATAAAATAAAAAACAAACAGAAAGGCTGGGGTGGGGTCCTAGACTTCTAACAACATTTTCAAGTGCTTACTTTTGCATGCAAAAATACAGGATCCCCTAGTTCTGAATATGGAGTTTCTAGATCTATATTTACTATTTATCCCTAATTCAATATATGGATTTACACAAACTCAGATTATTTTTTCCTCTGTAAAATATAAGATGGGAAAAGAGAGTTGGAAGAGGGGAAAGGCTGGTGTTAGACAGAATATTCTCTAGTCTATCTTACATTTGTTGATTCTCTCTCCTTCCCAGAGGTAGGGGAGCAATTCTCTAAATCAGTTTCAACAAAAATATGTCAGCAAATGTACCTGAGTTTCTACAGTGGATCAGTGTACTCATTCATGAAAGATTCAGAGTATAAAACTTATACAGAAATTGAATACTTGCTTACATGGGGTAGAGGGAAAACTTAGCTGATATAAATATCAAAGAAAAGTAATGCCATACCTGCTCACATGTTGAGTAAATCAATACAGGTGCAGTTTATTCCTCACATGACTATAGTATATAACCACTCTAAAGGTCACCCTTAACCTGATCCGCACAACTACCCTAGCAGTGGGTAGAACAACGATTACTATTCTCATTTGAAAATTACAAGTCCAGAGGAAGAGGCTTGCCAAGGTCACACAGGGGATTAAATGTAAACCTGTAACTAGGGTCAGGTTTTGAATTCCAGACTATTTACTCTACTGCACCAAAGGAACATGGAAAAATCACTCTCCTGAAAACTCTAGAAGCACCGTGGGAAGTACAGGACACTCCCATCTACTTTGAACTTCAAACTGTGGCCAAGACCACAGTTACCATCATCTTTTCGACCACTTGACAATTTCCTGAAAGACCCACAACCTCAATCAAACAAGGAAGATCTCATATGTCAACTTTAATAGTCCTTGGTGGATGGTGAGATGACTCAATGGGAAAGGTTGCTTGCTGCCAAGCCTACCAACCTGAGTTCAATTCTCAGAACCCACATGGTGGAAAATAAAGACATGCCTTTGACAAATTGTCTTTTGGCCTACACACACACACACACACACACACACACACACACACACCAAACAAATAAGTAAACAAATATAAAAGTGAAATAGTCCTTGGCATTGTCAAGAGTCATGGGAACACATGTATAGCCACTTGCTCCTAGAGACATGCCCTCCACAACTCCACATTCTCCCTTGAAATAATTTCCTTTTTTACATTTCTTTGTTTCCTTATTTCACATCGATCCTAACAATTCATTCCTAAAGAAGATTGCAGCTGACAATCATGTGAGCTCCATGAGGACAAAGACCAGATTTCTCTTGTTTATTACCTAAATACTTAACTGTAGTATCTGAAACTTACCTATAAATATCAAAAAATTTAAAACCTGCTGCTAGAGGCTAGAAGAGAAGATATATATATATATATATATATATATATATGTGTGTGTGTGTGTGTGTGTGTGTGTGTGTGTGTTCACTAAATCTAGATATCAGATTTAAGATTTTCTAACTTAATATACACTGGTATAAAATAAATAGCAACCAATTTAGCTTAGTATCTAGGTTACATTTTGTTGGCTGTTAAGACTGAGAAGAAAGCCTTTTAAAAGCATGAGAGTCAAGACTAAAGGACTAGTCTAGACTGAAGGAGACTAAAAAGACACAGCAGCCATATATAATATATTAATATTATGTGTTATATGTTAATTTTATTTAGCTCAGCCCTCTTGCAATAAAGGACATTACTGGAACAATTTCTTTATTATTATTATTAATTAAGAAAGCTAAGCCTTAGCTTAAACTTGTTTCTTTTTTTTCTTTAGAAACAATCACTTTACATATCAATACCCCCATTCCCTCTCCCTCCCATCCTCCCATGCCCCTTACCAATCCCCTACAACCCACCCCCCACCACCTACTCCCCAAGGATGGTGAGGCCTTCTGTGGGGGAATCATCAAAATCTGTCGTCATTTGGGGGACAGCCTAGGCCCTCCTCTATGTATCTGGGCTGAAATAGTATCCCTACTGGAACAATTTCAACAAAGCAGCAATGGAGTCCAAGGGTTAGATGGCAAGGGATATATGAATATTGTTTTCCTTGTTTTGAGAGTCATATTAGAGTTATAGAGGGAAAAGTTCTTGTTTATCTTACCCTCAAATTGTTCAGGGAAAGGTTATTTGTATTGTATTTGCAACTTTTCTATAAATTTGATAATTTTCTAATTGTTGTAGTATATTTATTCATTTTAAACTTCAGCTAATCCTTGTGGCAGTTCTTTTGGTTTGGTTTGGTTTGGTTGATGGTACTGGAGACTGAACCTAGGGTCCACGTAAAACCACATTACCACTGAGCTGTAGCCCTAACCTTCTTACTTATTTTTTTTTTGTTTTGAGACTGTATCTCATTAAATCACCCACATTGGACTGAAACTTAATTACACAGCACAAGCAGGCCTTGAACTCTCAATTCTACTGCCTAAGTCTCTTAAGTAGTTAGACTGCTAGTCTGTGCCACCAGACTTGGCTCCTTCATAATCTTTTAAGACAGACAAGATTTGCTATCCCTTTTGAAAGGTGAGAAAACTAAACCTCAGGAAGGATTTCATTATTTGTTTAAAATCCCAAAGCAGCTTAGGCCTCTACCTATAAGTCATCAGGTTGGGATTCTTATCTTTTTAAATGCACTAATGACCAAAAGAATTTTTTTTCAAAATATAAATCTGGCATGTCATATCCATACTTGAACTCTTCAATGACTTGCTAGCACTTGTCACAACTACAACTTTGTGTTTTTGCATGAAACAAAAAGTTCTGGTCTTTTCCCCAGAACTTCTCTCTCAAGTATCTTATCCATCTAGAATAATGGAAATTCTATTTTTCCAGTTGATAAAAAAGGTAGGGAAAAACTTGTATCTTTTTTTGTTTATTTTTATTGAAACATAGTTGCTCTATGTAGCCTAGCCTCATACTCCTGTTTAAGCCTACTGAGTGCTGGTATTATACATATGACACCATGCTTGGCTCCTTGGAGATACTCTTTTTTAATGTTTATTCAATGTGTATGTGTATGCATGCCACGGTATATTGTGCAAGTCAGAAGACAAGTTATAGGTTCTGGGGGTCAAACTCAGGTTATCAGACTTAGTAGCAAGCACCACTACCAGTCATATTGCTGGCCCTCCTTGGAGATACTTTTTTAGATCATATAACAAGCCCATCTGCAAAGTCTATTGAGTTTGCCTTCATAATATATAAAATCTGACCATTTCTCTGACTTCTACCATTATCACTATTGTCAACTCTTTCCTGAACTACAAAAGTGCCTCTCTGATGATCCCCTATGTATTGCCCTAAGCTTGTTCTCAAGTTATGATGTATATATTCAGTGGAAAATTATTTAATGAGTGAGCATATCTCAGTTAAGGAAAAGATATTACTTTATTAAGCTTTCACTTTAATATCTTTAGCTTTATAAACAGTAGTTGACATTTCCCAAAACAGCCTTATACCCTCTTAATAAACTACTGACTAGACAAATGGCCAAATATCAAAAAAGCAAAGGCTGTGAAAGTAGAAGCATAATTACTTTAAGACCCTGGCCAAGTCATTTGTACTGTCTGAGCCACAAATTCCTTATCTGTCAAATGTTATGAACCATACCCATGTTAAATATATGGGAAAAAATACATAAGTGCAGCAAATGGGAGATATAGTTTATTATTATAAAAAGTAAACAGATTTATAGCTAGGAGTGGTGGCACATACCTGCACTCTTGGCACTTAGGTGGATGATACAGGAGGATTTCCTGTCAGACTACACAACAAAGACCCTATTTATAAGGAAAAGATACCAGAAAGAAATCAATCTATCAGTCAACCTTAGGTAGTATAGACAGCTGTGAGAAGCTGAGTGGTTAAAGCACAGCTGCCTGTGTAGCTGATGTCATCATAGACACGAAAAGTCACAGCATGGAAACAGTGTGATGTGTGAGGAAGACCATAACTGGAATATGAGAGATCTTAGACAACCAGGATGTCTGGAGTTGACTAGCTAATGACAAAAGGGTTATTTAGGGAACTATATCATGTGAGGAACCAGAGAATGAGGACTCAGTATAACCTCCTCCATAAAACAACAAGAACCCTTCAATAGATCAAAGGTTTCACATGAACTCAGCAAGTTCCCACGCACATATATCAGCCTCCACAGGAACATGGGAAAGAAACAATGTAATGTGGCTTTGGGCTCCTAGCTGTGCTCCTACAAAAATTATCCCAGTGACTTCTCACAACAACCTGTGATAGAAACTGTTATTTCCATTCCACAAATGGGAAAACTAAGACTTAAAGAGGCAAGATACATTGATGTCTCTGCTGATGGGCCTCCAGTAGCCAAATATTGGAAACACCTTACAGTGTAACTCTGTGGTTTTAATTTATTTACAGGATTATTTCTAGGTTTGTCAGAAGGAACTACAAGGCAGGTAACAAAGGTATGAAAGATCTAATAATTTCTTTTTACCTTCCATATAGTATATCCTACAGAGCTCTATGTTTCTTGAGTATGATAACTTAAAGAATAAATCTGATTTGAACTCATTAATGTTAAGGGACAGTGTTAGAATTTGAGAAGTAAGGAAAATCTATGGACTCTAAAAGTGATCCTAAAGTAAAATGTTCAAAGAAATTAGAATTCAAAAACCCTAGATGTAAAATTTTGAAGTTGTAATGAGTATGTTTGTAATTCAAGTGTAAGTAAAAGAAATCCAAATAAAAACTAGGATGGCTAGATTAAGCATTAGCTCTTTTTAAAAGGGCCATCTTGTGCCAGCAAGATGGCTCTTTAGATAAGAACACTTGCCACCAAGCCTGACAACTTGAGTTTGATCTCCAGAACCTACATGGTAGGAGAGAACAGATGGCTAATGGGAGTGGAATGGAAGGAAACTATTATAGATAAGTATGAATGGAATAGAAGTAGAGGAAGAATGAGGAAAGAACCAAGAATTCTCTTGTTTAATCTAAAATTTTTCAAAGGCACATACTCATTTTAAAAAGGGTTAAATGTGTTCTCCAAAATAAGACTTTGCCTGTAACCTCTCTGTCACTATTGCTGTCTCAGTACAGTAGGTAGGAATGTTAATGATTTACATCATCAATATAATATTTTATGCCACACATATGCTGTGGCATGCATACATGTACACATACACACTGAATAAATGAGTACATGTAAAAATACATTAAAATAATATCTCCAAGAAGCCAAGCATGGTGTCATATGTATAATTATATTACAATAATATAATAATTGGTCACAAAATTCAGGTCCTCAAATAGCTAGGCTTGCCTCAAACTCATAGGGTAGCTGAGGCTGGCCTTGAACTTTTGATGCTCTTTCTTCTGCCTCTCAAATGTAAGGGTGTGTGCCACTTTGCCCAACTCCAGATTAATCTTCTTAAATCTAGCTATGGCAATATCATTCTTCTTTATAAGAATCTTTTGGCATATCTCAAGAATAGTGATCTCCCATTCCTGGACTTTATCTGCATCAAAGAAGTGTTGAGGTCAGCAGACTGCAAGATCATTTAGAACCTTCCATGATGGCAAATGCCATGGACTCTTGATTCAAAATAGGTCTGGATTTTGAGCACTTTAACCACCTTCACAACTTGCCACTATTATCTAAATCATCATGGCTCACATGTATTTCTACCTTGTAATTGGTCCCACAGCTTCTACTTTTTATTTTCATTTAAAATACAGGTCCTAAGTATAATGCAAGTTATTGTCATGTCATTGCTCAAGACTGTCTCGTGCATTCCCTTTTCACCATGCACAAAAAGTAACAATCTACATTGGTTTCCATGGATCTAAATGATCTAGCAGCCTGCCAAACCCCGTATTGTCCCTGATCCCGTCTTAAAGGGCTCGAGCTATACTAATTTACCCATCTTCAAGCACACAAAGCATCAGCACACACTTGCTCTTCCATCTATCTGGAACATCTCTCTTCCCTGCCCCAATTATCTGCATGGCATACTGCATTATTTCTTTCAAATCTCTGCCCAAATGATGTTACCCTAGCAAAGGATCTTCCCACATCACTCCCACTCTGCACTGTCACTCCTTTTCCTGGTGATCTGCATTTTTATATAACATTTATCACTGTCTGTTATATTTGTTTATGTGTCTGCATGTTTGTGTGTGTGTTCTGAGTATTGGACTCAAGGCCTTGTAAGGAAAGCCCTTTACTAACTGAGCTATCTCCTCAACCCCTATCTGTTTCATTTTGTTTGTTTATTGTCCATCTCTTTATACTGAATAAAAAAAAGAATTTTGTGTTTTGTTCAGAACAGTGCCTGGTATACAATAAGTTCTCAAAAAGTATTTGCTGAATAAATAAATTGTTCCTTGCATAAAACTTTTGTTCTAAAAAGATATGATGGGTTTTGTTTTGTTTCTTATCAAAATAATTTTTAGTTTTTGCTATTTTTAAAAATTAAAGTATAATTATGTCATTCCTTCCTCCAACACCTCCCATATTCCCTCTTCACTCCCTCTCAAATTCATGGTCTCTTTTTAAAAATGATTATTATTTTATGTGTGTGAACAAATACATAAATACAATCTGCTAAGTCTGTTTTATGTTGCTTGTATGTATATGGTTTCAGTGCTGACCACTTGGTGAGACTTGATGTTTTTACTATCCAAAATTATAGTAATAGTGATTAATATCTATTAAGCCCTTTTACCATGCCAGGATATTGGACACATGAGTTTGTGATCCTATTTAATTTTATTTAGTTGACAACTGCATAATATAAAAGCTATGGTTTTGTTTTTTGTTTTTTGTTTTTTGGTTTTTTTTGTTGTTTTTTTTTTTTTTTTTTTTTTGGTTTTTCGAGACAGGGTTTCTCTGTGTAGCTTTGGAGCCTATCCTGGCACTTGCTCTGTAGACCAGGCTGGCCTCAAACTCACAGAGATCCGCCTGCCTCTGCCTCCAGAGTGCTGGGATTAAAGGCGTGTGCCACCAACACCCAGCTATATAAAAGCTATTTTTATGTATATTTTATTTTTTGCTCTGGGTTTTGGGGGATAGGGTCTCATGCAGCCCAGGCTGAATTCAAGCTCTCTATGTAGCCATGTATGGCCTTGAGCTCCTGATCTTTCTGCCTCTACCTGCTGTTGTTTGATTTTTTTTGTTTGCTTTTTGGTGACAGCAATTTTAAATACCTATCTGGTCTCCCAAAATAGAATGTAAACCCCATAATACTGGACTTAACAAACTTTATCTGGTTTTTAAATTTCAATTTGAAAAAACAAATTAATTTGACTAACATGGTCAATTTCTATTTTTTATCTGCCAAGCCTAGCGTTAGACTCCTTGAACAAGGCAGTGTCATATTAAAGAAAAGAATAGTTGACTAGGAGTAAAGCTCTCTGGTGATTAGTCTCCATTTTATCTTCAAACAGGGAAATAGCCCTGATACAAATCACTTTCCCTCTCTAGCTAATCTTAGATTTGCTAATCTATAAAGAAAGTTGACCTATGTGGACTCTAACAGTCACATAGAGTTCTAAAAATAATATAATTCTATAAACATTTATTATGTTCCAAGCCAAAGTAAAAGGCCAAATTCTTCCTTGTGGTGGTTTTGTTTCAGCTAACCAGAGAATGCTCTTAAGAGTGCTATTTTCCTTGTGGTTTTCTTCAGTGATGTCCCAAGACAAGAAATGAACTGTAAATGTAGTATGCTAGTAATATTGCATTCATCTAAATGACACTATTTAAGCTGAGAAGAAAGCAATAAGAAAAGAAAGCTTGCCAGATATGATGACTCATGCCTGTAATCTCAGTACCTGGGCTGAGGCAGGAGGATTGCCATGAATTTGAGACCAAACTGGGTTACATAGTGAGTTCCACAATAGCCTGGGCTATATAGTAAAGACTCTCTTGCTAAAAAAATTATATATAGCACAAATCCTAACACTACCAGAAAAATATCACTAAAATCTTTATTTTTAGAGCATCAATAAAAAAACATAAAGGTGGACCCTAACAGAGAAGACTTGTGGGGAGAGAAAGAAGGTCTTAGAATACATGTAAGAAAGTCTAGGAAATTCAGAGTATATGATAAAGGCAAATAGTACAAGAAAAAGATAGTAGGTAATTGATGATTCCAGAGAAAACAAAAAAATTGTACATGAAAGGAGATGCAAAGGCTGGGATATAGCTTCATTGGTAGAATGCTTTCCTGCCATGCACAAGTCCCCAGAATAAACTGGGCATGGTAGTATAGATCTATAATCCCAGTACTCAGTAGACGGAGGTAGAGGCAAAGGATCAGAATTCCATGGTCATTCTCAGCAACTATGTTATTGAGGCTAGCCTGAGATATGTGCAACCATAGCTCTAAAACAAAACAAAACAAAACAAAAAAAGGAAAAGGAATAGCCATTTTAACACACTTACTACACTCGCTTATAAAGAATGTGATTTAAAGTTAATTTAAAAATAATGTTTAGTGAAAGGAGAAGTTAGAGGTGTTTCAGATTTAAATTCTCATCTATGATAACAGGAAGCCAATCTCTTCTTTAAAGACAATTAAAAGGGAGCTGGGAGTGTGGCACAGTGATAAAACAGTTGCTTAGCATGTGTGAAAGTCCTAGGTTTAATCCCCAGTACCACAAAAAGCAGCAGCAGCAGCAGCAATAGAGGAAGAGGAGTAAGAAAAGAAAAAGAAAGAAGAGAAAGCAATTTGAGTATATTTACAAATATGGGTTCAACAAAGAAAGCAGCTATATGTCTAGTATATTTGTATTTTATTTTATTATAGCAAATGCAGTCCATTCATAGTTTACTTTACTATAAACATAAAAAGAATGGAAAATTAATTGTCCATTTGATACTTTTTCCTATTTCTCTACCCCTGTATTTATAACACCTAATACAAGGCTGAATATCCAATATCTTTTTACAATTTTTTATTATTGTGTATGTGTCTCTTTCCGGTGTGTGTGTGTGTGTGTGTGTGTGTGTGTGTGTGTGTGTGTGTGTGTATGTGTGTGTTCAGGTGCCTGTGGAATCCAGAAGAGGGCATCAGAATCCCTGAAGCTGAAATTATAGGCGGTTTAAGCTGCCCAATGTGAGTTCTGGGAACTGAACTTGGGTCTTCTGCAAGAGCAGTATGCTTTCTTAACCCTGAGCCATCTCTCCCTGGTACTCAGTATCTTTAAAAATTATTATTGAACAGGTGCTCATGTAAAAGCCAAGTAATAAGGTCTTACCACAGAATTTAGCATTGGAATTAACCTGGTAGATTACTTAAAGCAGTACTTCCCAAATTGGAGTTCCACTAAACACTGTTTCTTAGAGTCTTAACATACATTGGGGATCCAACCCAGACAGGTCTGAGGGGGTAGGCATGTGAGGGTAGATCTGGGATGAATTAGGAGGAGGAGGAGTTGGAATTTAATAAGATCAAATACATTTTAAGAAATGCTCAAAGAATTAATAAAACATATATATTTCAAAAGAAAGCTTGCCAGGTTGCTAGGTGGTAGTGGCACACACCTTTGATTCCTCATTCAGGAAACAGAAGCAAGCAGATCTCTGAGTTTGAAGCCAGAGTGGTCTACATAGTGAGTTCCAGGACATCCAGAGTACACAGAGAAACTCTTTCAAAAAACCAAAATGAAAAAGAAAAGAAAGGAAGGAAGGAAGGAAGGAAGGAAGGAAGGAAGGAAAGGAAGGAAAAGAAAAGAAGGAAGGGAGGAAGAAAGAAATATTTCAAGGCATAGTGGCTTTTGTAGTTACTGTGAGCATCAAATAAGATATTTCTTAGGCTCCTAAACATAGTTCTCAACCTTTTTAACTCAATAAAATTAATGATAACAATGATAGAGCTGGTGAAAAACCTAAACTCATTTTTTTGTTCCAGAGCAAGAATGAAAAACAAACAAACAACCTAGTCCTGTTCTCTGCTATATACCCATTATTTTCATCTCCACCCATAAATCAAGAAGAGGAGGATCACTTGATTTATATTGACTTTGTTACCAGAAGTTATGTAATCTGAAGAATTAATTTAACTTCCTTGATGTATTTTTGCTTAATAAAATATCAAATCAACAATACTTTGCTTACTCATCTTGGTTGGTGCAAGGATCAAGTAAATTTATGGAATGTAAAGTACTTTGTTACAGTCTAATGTGAATGGCATACAACTGTAATTCCACCTGTTAGGAGGCTGAGGCAGGAGGGTTGTAACAAGTTCAAAACCAGTTTTCATTACATAGCAAATACCAGATCAACCAGGATTTCACAGTAAGACTCTGTCTCAAAAAATCTGGATGTAGGAATTGTGGGGGTAGCAAGATAGATCTGCAGGTAAAAGGCATTTGTCCCCAAGCCTGATGATCTGAGTTCAGTCTCTAGGACCCACAGAACTGACTCCTGAAGTTGTCCTCTGACCTTCACACTCACCCACACACAATTAATTAATTGATTAATTAATTTCAATATTTTTCAATGTAAAAATAAAGCACATTGTGAATTATGAAACATATAAATACGAGATTTTTATCTGTCACAGACTATAAATATTTTTACCAGTAAAAAGCAACTTTATCGCCAAGTTTTTTCTCATGGACATTTCGATCCAGCACATTGTAGCAGATGTTTGTAGTTGCTCCTTTCATCCATTCAGTGAATATTTTCCCTTTAGTCACATCAAAGTTGTACTGGAGGAATGGGCCAGGGCATGGGGTTTTCCAATAAAATTCCTTGGCAATGTTTCCCCAAAACTCTGCAACAAAAAGAGATGGCCAGATATCACTAAGTATCTCAAACATCAGGTGGATTACTAGTATATGTATGGGACCAAGTTACAATCACCCTGTCCCAGGACTCAATATTTGTCTAGTCTAATCACCGGTTATTCTTCTGCCTACAGTCTGTTCCTGAATCTTAATTCAGATTGTTCCTTCTGTACACAAAGCTGTCTATCTGAGTGTAGTGGCACACATTTATAATGATCCAGGCACTTGGGAGGTGGAAGCAGAATTATCAGGAGTTCAAGACCAGCCTTTACAAAGGGAGTTCAAAGCCAGCCTTCAATATTAAGACCTTGTCTCTAGTACACACACACACACACACACACACAGAGAGAGAGAGAGAGAGAGAGAGACAGAGAGAGACAGAGAGAGAGAGAGAGAGAGAGAGAGAGAGAGAGAGAGAAGCACATATGCACGCACACTCAAAAGTATCACACAATACCTAGCACAATGACCAGTAACCAGTAGGGAATCAGTAAATAAATTCTTTACCCATATAGTCTTCCACAATCATCTCCTAGTTTGTTCATTCTCTCTTAGCAATTATTTATTGAGTATTTTCTTTACAACTACTTGCACAAGTTCTCATGTGTGTCAGGTGTTACTTAAAGCTATTTATATGTATTATTTAATTTAGCCTTTAGTACATTCCTAAAAGGTATGCATTATTTTGTTTATCATATAGATTTGAAAATCAAGGCTTGGAGACATTAAATAATTTGCCTAAGATTTCATAGATTACTAAGTCAAGATTTGAATTTCCTTAAGAAGACATGTTTGTTGATTTTCAAAAGATAGGAATATATTTTACTCTCAAACCAAAAGAAAGTGACTACTATGATAGGAAAGAAAACCAAGGGTTTACATTTACAGAAACTATTTGAGACTGAAAATAAAGAAACCATCAGCAGGAACTAATTCATAATTTGGCATATTGGGACAAAACAATATAATTGATATACTACCTTTCAATTTATAAAGAAAACAAAAATGCAATCAACCCAAGGTGCTACTGTATGCCTATAAAACTAGCGAAAAAATTTTAATTTAATTCTATGCTTTCACTACATGAGATCTATCTAGAGAATCAGATACTTTTATACAATAACAGCACTGTAAGAAATATCTGGCAAGAGTTATAAAATTTTTAGAACCTTTATTTGCTAACTCAATTTTGGAAATATATTCCAAGAAAATAATCCAAAAGAAGGGAAGAAAGCATTACTAAAAAAGTTTTTATAGAAATACTACAAAAGTGAAACTAGGGAAGGAAGGGTACATCAATGTGGGCCTGTAATCCTAGCACTCGGAAGGCAGAGGTAGAAAATCAGGAGTTCAAGGCCAGCCTCAGCTAACAGGAAATTTGAGGCCAGTCTGGACTACTTGAAACCCTGACTATTAAAAAAATCATAAATCATAAGACCAGGGCTGGAGAAATAGCTCAATTCATAAAGTGCTTGCCTCACAAGCACAGGATCTGACATAGTGTCATCATTTGTCATTCTAGTGCTTTAAGGGCAGAGACAGCTGGATTTCTGGGACTTGCTGTGACTCCCAAGGCTTTCCTCTAGTACACACACACACACACACACACACACACAAACTCAAAAGCCCAACAATTAAAAACTGGTAATAACTAGTAATATAAAAAAATACTGAATGGCCATTTTTTTCAAAAATCAAATGGAAACTGATATTTAGTAAATATACAAAGCTGTAAAGATGAAAGATGGGACTAATTAGGACTGAACTAACTTAATATAATCTTTATGGCATAAGCTTATGAAATATATACATACATATATTCCTAATGTTATAAGTGAGAAAACTGAGGCTCAGGTGGGGTTTAGGTTTGGTTGGGCAAAACCAAACAAGGAAAGGGACTTTTAGGTATCCAGGATATGAAGTAGATCTATCTAGAATGAAGAATATAATAGAGAATAGTAGAGAGAAGATTGAAGAGGTGAAGCTAGGTTACCCAAAGGCTCCTGAAGAAAAGCAGAATCTTAATTTAGGGGGAACATTTTTAAAAGGTAGGCATTTAGCACCTGCATATAACTGCAGCACTCAGAAGGCAGAAGCTGGAGGATCACAAGTTTGAGGCAAGCCTTGTCCATATCCACATGGTGAGTTGCAGGCCAGCCAAGAATATATAACAAGAGCCTGTCACAGAGGAGGGGGGGCGGAGAAAACAGAAAGATTTTTTTTTTAACAAAGGCATATGAAAGCATATTCCAAGAATATCAGCCTAATGGTGTTTAGATAAGTCTGCTGGAGCAACTGCAGGTGTTAAGACTAGGGAGGAGGGGACAAATTAGGAAACTGCTTCCTGTTGTTCTGACTTTAAGTGTCTGTGGAAATGAAAGGAAGGGTCAGTCTGAGAGATATTTTAAAGTAGTATTTGACAGAATTTGGTGAAAAGCAAACTGCAGAGTTAGAGAAGAATAGCATAATATTCAGAGTACAAGTTCTCTAGTCAAGATCATGTTGTTTTAAAGCCCAACTCCGTCAATGATTTGCTTTATGACCTTGTTTAAGTGAGTTAGTCTCTAAGCTCCTGTTTCTTCCTCTATAAAATGTGGGTGGTACTCAGATCAAATCAAACTGAAATACTGCTTAGTAAACAATAAGTATCTATAAATTTGTAAGGTGTAGGAAAGATATCTGAGAAGACAATGATGGAAGAGGTTTATAGTTGGGGTAGTGCCATTGACACGAGCAGAAAATAGAAAATTGGGGCAAAAGAGAAAGAAAGAAAAAAATAATTATGGAAGAAAGCAAGTTTGGGAGAGAAAACTGGGAAACCTCACTCACAGTCTTGTTTTGTTCAGGGTATGTGAAATACAAATGGTCTATAGTCCTATGAAATTTGGGGACCAAATATAAGTGAAATACAAGGTAGGAGGCCAGATACATAGAATATGAATTGCTATGGTACAAACTTACCCCAGATGTAACTCCTGATGGGAGAAAATACAGAAAGAGAAGGAAAAGACACCCGAGGAATCAAACTTGGACACTACTTGTAGCAAGGAACAACTTCACACTTGATTCAGTACTATTTTTCGTTGCTTGGGATCTGCTTGGGATTTGTTGTTGCTAAACAAATCGTTACTTATTTAATGACTGCTTGGGCATCAAACCTTTGATAATGGATCCTTTATTACCCACTTTAGTCTTCATAATCTATGAAGCTAGTACTATTATTCCTATCTTGGAGATGAGTACATTTTAGGTAGGTTTTTAAATCTGCCTAAGACTATAAAAAAAGGTTTTTATGCATTTTTCTGAGTGTGGTTCGTGGCTTGTGTATCCTACCACTAAATATGCTGCCTCCCAACCGGGATATGGTAGTGGGGTTTTATGGTTGTTTCTTTTTTTGGCAGGGTCTTGCCATGTAGCACTGGTTGTTCTGGAACTACCCATGCACACAAGGCCGGCCTTGAATTTACAAAGACCTGCCTCTTCCTCCCCAGTGATTGCAATTAAAGGTGTGTGCCACCAGGCCTGGCAAGGACATGGTTTTGCCCCCTAAACTGCCCGGGCACGTTTTTAAAGGCATAGAATTATCTCTTAGAATCTGAGTCACTGCAACTTAGGGCCAAATTTAAAAAAAAAAAACAAAAAACTTGACATATTAACAACTTGTTCAATCGTATATTGGGATTGCTACTATATTAAATAGATGCAGGACCCCAAGATGGGAACCAGGCTTGGAACTGCCGCTGAGCAAAGCGAGGGAGGCAATTGTTGAATTGGAGGCAAAGAAGGTTCTGTCTCTTCTGGGTTCTCCTTTCCTCAAGTCTCGCACACTTGCTCCTTGGAGCTTTTCTTTTACCTCAGAGACTCTCTCTCTCTCTCTCTCTCTCTCTCCCTCTCTCCCTCTCTCTCTCATATGCGACTTAGTCTTCGCGGAAATCCCTTTTCCAGTCTCCCCAAGGGTTCTTCGCACACCGAACCCCGCTTCTGTTCACTGAACCCCGCTTTTCCTCACAGAACCCGCATCTCCTTGTGAAAGCACACATCTCACAAAACTACCAAATCGCCAGAGAGTCCCCCAACTTCTAGGAACCTTCACTTCACAGACCCCTCCTTCTTCTCATGGAACGTCGTCTCTTTCGAATCCCTTTTCCATCTCCTCCCTAAGGGAGCGCGGTGAATGCCCCTCGGAGTCCCGCTCTTCTGCTCTCTGGCGCCCCCAAGAGTCTCCCGGGCCCAGCCTCACCCCCTGGCTCCTCCACAGAATGCCGGTGCAGCTCGCGGTAGCGCTGCAGCGAGGAGACGTGTGCCGAGCGTCTGACCTCCGGCGGCGGGGACCAACCCCGCACCCGGCCCTCGGAGCCGGTCTCCTCCCGAGCCCGGCTCCCGCTGTCGCTTTTGCGCTGCTCCTCGGGAAGCCCCATCCCGTCAAGTTCTGAGCACCGTGCGGCTCTTGCGGTTGCTGCGGGTGCCGGGGCGTGGAAAACAGGTCGGCCCTAGAGGCGGGGCCTCGGGCGAGGGCGGAGCCTGAGGCTGGAGGCCGTGCTTTAAACACCCAATAGTGGGTAGGGCCGTGGGCGAGGGGGCGGGGTCATCAGAAACCGCTGAGGCGAAGTCGGGGTAGGGGCGGAGCTGACTTGCCGGAAGGGGTGTAGCCGTAGAGTGAAAGTCGAAGGAATGGTCTAAGAATGACAGGAGAGGGGTGGAGCTTTGGAATGACAGAGCAGGGGCGGGGCCAGAAGTGACAGGCGAGGAGGCGGGTCGTGGAGTGATGGGGTGTAGCCGGGTTGGAAGTGACAGGAGAGGAGGCAGGGCTGTGGAGTGACCAAGTTAGGGTCTTGGAGTGACAGATGGGGGTTGGGTGATGGCGCCGCGCAGCTCGAGACTGAAATGGCTGACTAATGAGAAGCGTTGGGTCATCCGCTGTGCACACACCGTGGTCTGATTGCACAATCCTGTCACTCCACCGAGTTGGATAGCCAGGTGGAGTACAGTTCCTTCTGGTGACACTCCTCTAAGTCTCCCGCCAAGCAACACCCCTCTTCCAGTCTCATGAAAAAATTCCTCCGCGACCTTGAGGGCACAGCTCCCGGGTATGATATGATCCTTCCTGCCAACTCGCGGCCTTCTGATTCCCACCTCTAAGGGCATGTTGCCATTTTCTTTGCCTGCATTAATCTCCACCCTGATCCAAAGTACAAGACTCTAAGCGAAGACCGCGAGGATCCTCCAGACCTTTGCCAAAAAGCACAAGTTCTCTTTGCACAAAAGGTAAATTCAGGAAAGGAACTGTGCATGGTGGTGCACGCCTGAGGCAGAGGCAGGAGGGATCTCTGAATTCGAGGCCAGCCTGGTCTACAGAGTGAGTTCCAGGACAGCCTGGGCTACACAGAGAAACCCTATCTAAAAAACCACAAAAAAAGAGAGAGGGAGGAAGGAAAGAAGGAAGGACGGAAGGAAGAAGGAAGGAAGAAAGGGGGAAGGGAGAAAATGAAATTTCACAAAGCTAAGGAGCAAACAGAAGCTAGATCTTGTAAAGTACCAAGGTCTGTGCAAAACAAAATAATAAAAATATAAAGAGCAATCATTTGCACTCTTTAATTCACCTATGTATACTCCATCTGCCACAAATGGAGTTTACCTCACCCTGCCCCCCCATCCTCTTAACCCAGAGGGAAGCCTAGTAGGACACCCTCTATCTCCTGCCCACAGTTATCACCAAGAAGGAGCCGGATCACCTAACAATTCACAGACTGGCCATAGAAAAAGGATCTTTAAATATCTAACTACAAGAGTGAGTCTGAGGTCTGAAGCAGGCAGCTCTCTTGCCTTTTGATCCCTACTTGGGGCTTATGGACCCATCTACCCACCAGCTGCCCCGATCTTTGTCCAACTGACCATAAGCTTAGCACACCGTAAGCTGAAAAAAGAATTTCCTCATGTTCAGATATATGACCCAGAGCCTAACTGATCCTGAGGTGAGGATCTTGGAGCCCACTAAGCACATACAGACCTTGTAGAATAAACATAGATCTCAGAGAGGGAGCAGATACTTCGTCAAGGAGACATACACTCCGCTGAGTAGATACACACTCTCTGAAGTTGCATGAACTGTATTAGGAGGTACAGAATTTTCTGGAGGTCTCAGATCCTATGGAAGAGCTCTGCCTCTGCTTATAGGACAGGATGGCATTAACTGACTAGGAAATAGATTTCCCTCTATGAGATGCAGACTTTACTAACCCCGATGAGAGGACTCAACTCCCACGGAGGAGCATTCGCATACACTGGAGGAGTGGACAACACTCAGGTGACACAGATCTCATTTAGTGGGAACAAAACTCACTGGTAGGGGTATGAGGTCACGGAAACTATGGTCCCTACAGACCTCACTAATAAGATGAAAACCTCTCCGTGGGGAAGAAGGCACATGCAATTTTGCCAGTAGGTATGAAAACCGTCATCATCCCTTACTCCCACCTTCACTGCACAGCTCTGACCCGCCTTCCTTCCTAAGCCTTTCTCCCGCAAATGTTCGCTATCTACTGCTGCCTCCTGCTGTATACGTGTGGCACTGCAGCTCCTTGTGTCCAGAGTAAATGCTAAAACAGTTCAAGTCACATTGAGCCTGGAGCCAGGGATTGGGAAAGCGAGAGACAGTGTGTATCCACGGCTTCACCAGCCCTGTATCTCTGCCTGTGGGCTGAACTACAGGAGTTTGGGCTTAAAACCTTCATTCTTGGAGCTAGGGTAGCAATTCCAGAGATGGGCTTGGCAGGCACCTAGCGTGCAGGGATGCGTTCTCATTCTTACATTTCCTTTCTTCGCCCCCGCCCCCCTCCTCAGGATGCTGGAGGTCAAACCTTCACACAGGCAAGCGTTCTATCAAAGCGCTACTTCTTAAGCCCCTGTTCTTACACGTTTATCCTTCCCATCCCACCCTGCTCCTGTTTCTATCACAGCGTCATGACTTCTTTTACCTTAGTTCCAGAGCCACATCAAGAATTCTGAAAAATGCAGACGAATATTAAGGTTCCAAAGATCGTGTTCTGGCCTACTGAATTAGTTCCCTGGAGTGGAATCTGAGGGTTTGCTTCTGAGGATCCTAAAGTTGGGGTGGGCTTCAGTAAGGGGTACTCTCCCTTGCTGACACATCAGGGCGATTCCAGAAGGATCTGGGGTTTAAAAGAGAAGTTTTAGGGTGCAGAAAAGGATGTGAGATTGAAGGGAGGCTCAAGAGAGGTCTGCAGATGAAAAAAACAGTCTGGATGAAGTAGGGTTGGAGACTTAAAGGAATCTGGGGTGAAGTGAAGTCAGAGTTGTAAGTCTGGGGTAAGTAGTCTCAGATGGGTCCGAGGGGTAGTCTGAGATCGGAGGAGGAGAATCTTGGTGCCCACAGAGAGATTTGGGCCCGAGAAGAGAGTGGCTCAGGAAAAAAAAAAAAGGTCTGGAGTCAAAGTGGAGTTTGTGATCAGAAGTCAGTCTCTGGTCCTAGGAGTGTATGGGATCTGAGCAGGATTCAGACTGGAAGGAGCAAGGACCAGGGATGAGCCCAGAGTAGCGTCCTCTTGCTGGCAACCTTCCGCTGCCCTCCGGGCTTCCATTCTCCTGCACCAGTGTGCAGGCTGCTAACAGTAGACTTTAAACAGGCGGGGGCGAGTCAGACCAGGACACTGCTGAGGGTGGGGGCGCCCCCTCCCGGCTGTCCAGGAGCTCAGACCCCGCCCTCCGCCCTCGCACCCCCCTCCACTGCCACTTCCGGCAGGCGCTGCGCTGCTGGGGGTTAGGGCGAGGATGGCGGCAGAGAACGAGGCTAGCCAGGAGAGTGCCCTAGGCGCCTACTCGCCAGTGGACTACATGAGCATCACCAGCTTCCCGCGGCTGCCCGAGGACGAGCCAGCGCCTGCGGCCCCGCTGAGGGGCCGCAAGGACGAGGACGCCTTCCTGGGAGACCCGGATACCGGTGAGGCCCTCTGTCCCCATCCCTCCCCCGCCTTGGGGGGTCCTGGTCCTCCTTCATCTGTTCTGGGCATCATACACTTACAGTCTCCCATCTCCTTCATTCATCCTTTCATCTTGGACCTCTTCCCTTCTCCCTCAGCTCTGATAACTGTGTGGTGGGGGAAAGGGTATTTTTGCCTTAGAGGCGTAGGATGCGACACGGGAAAGGATGCAATGACTGCAGTAGGAGGGATTATGATTCGGAAGAACCTATTGAGAAGGAAGGAATGCTGGAAGGGAGAGCCTTAAGAACGGCTGTGATCACCTAGGAAAGGCTTCTCTTTAGTTACAGAGGATAGGATAGAAGAAACCAAGTCAGAGGCTGCAGCAGGAGGGATATAGTCTAGATCTTAAGGAGAACTTCATCACAGTCAGGGATTATGGGAAGCAGAGAGTCCGGAGAAGAGCTGAGAATCTATCTCTTCATGTCCAGAGATGAGTAAAGAAAATATGATTCCCTTCTATCTGAGAATTCCGGGTATTGGGAGACAAGGGGATGGTCTGCATGACCTCTCAAAGTCCTTGGGGACTCAGTGCCTTTGATGTTCTGTGGGTTACTCTACCCTTTCCAGAGATGTGGGTCTGGCACGGATGTTTGCCGGGTTGGTAGGAGCTTCTGGTCAGTGGCAAGATTTGTTCCCCAGGAAGCAGTCTCCGCATTTTACTGTGTTCTCAACCTCTGCAGAAACTGAAGGAGATGGGGGTGTGGGGGGGGAGGAAGCAGGACTTGGGAGAGAGCTGGGGGCCAAGTCTTAACATCCCTTCCCTAGCGCTATTTCTCCTATCCATGTGGCCCAGCGCTATACTCTCCTCCGTTTTTTATCCTGCATCCCTCTGACCTCTTTGCCTCAACGTCACTTCCTGGCATTAGAGCATCTTTCTGCCTCCCTCTCTGTCTTCCTCCGGTGCCTGCACTTGAGCGATATCCCTTTCTGTACTGAAGGAAGCTGCTTCTCTGGCCCAGCTCTTTCCAGTCTGACTCTTCCATTGTTACTCCTGGCTGGGCAACTGGCAGTTCTCTCTAACTTTTTGGTCATATGGTTCTGACTAGCAGGTCCTACCAACCTGACTGGATCACTCTTTACCTATGATGGGGTATGGAGACTTTGAATCCTCAAATGTCACAGCTGCTCATCAAAACTAATTTTCTTGGGGGATTAGCCTTAGTGGTAGAAGGAAGAATGTGGGAAAATATGTGGTGGTGGAACCAGCCATCTGGTCAACCCAGGTTTTCTATTCAGAGATTGAGTAGTGCAGTCCTGACTCATTATATTAAAGTAGGTGTGCCTACCCTGTACTGTTCCTTAGTTTTCTCTTCCAAAAAAGAATGCCCATATGCCCTAAATAACAGATTGGACCATTTAATCTGTCTCCTGATTCCTTGTTAAAGGCATTGCTTTATAAAAACCTAAGGTTATTTATTTGGGAAGTGATGTGATTACTGCATACCTAAGAGGCCTCTAAGGGCAGGAATCATGGCCTTTTTAAAAATTCATCCTGTTGCCAGCATTCAGCCAAGCATTGGGTACTCAATAAATAATTTTTGAATGAATAGATGAAAGAGATTTCAGGATGAAATAATCACAGGGAATGGAGTTCCCAAACCTCAAAAATGCTTTATGGGAGTTCAGTGTAGGCTGTGTCCTGATGTGCAAGGCAATTCAACCGAGAGGGGCTGGGAGTTTAACTCAGTGGCAGAACACTTGCCTAGAAATTCAGCGTAGACCCTGGTTAATTGAGCTCCTGGGAACTTATACCTTATCACAAGGGTATACACCAAAGTTCCCAGGACCTTGCCTTGGAGTGCCTTGCCATCACAACAATATAAGCATTTAGATGCCGTGTCACTTAGGCCTGTTTCCAAGTCCCAAGAGTCTTTTGGTCCAGCTAGACCAGTTTGTTGGCTAATATGACCTTCTATATTCTCAACCTAGTAGTGCCACCTAGTGGCACTGTCCCATCTTCTTAGCCAAGACCTTTGATGTGCCTGGCTAGCCTGTTGCCTGGCACTCTCCAAAATCAAGTGCCAGACTTCCCAAGCAGGACGCAGAGAACAGAGAACTGGATGGTGACCTCTTCAAGGTTAGGGAATGCCTTCGTTCCCTTTCTTCCAAATGGAAGCCATGTTAGCCTTCTCCTAGGCATCAGCCTCTACATGCCAACATTCTATGCCAAAATCGGCATGTCTTCACCACTCTTCCTTTTTGTCCAGGGCCATTCTCAGTGTGTGACACTGCCTTTCAGTAAGTGTCCAAAGTAGGGGCCTGGAAGCCACTTTCAAATCTTTCCCTCTTCTCTTCTCACTTTCAAAATGTGACCTGGTTTTCTATGTCCCTCCCTCCTAAGAAGGTCCACCCTGGCATCACCACTCTAGACCAGCTACTAACCTGTTGTACCTGTGTGACCCCTAAGTCCCTAGCTCTTCTTCACTCTGATGCACTCACCCCAAATACACTCGCCACTCTGCGCTTCCAGTCATGTCACTCCCAAGTTCAGAAATCTTCCCTTAAGAGAGTTCAGGGCCAGGCTAGGCTACCTAGGGAATTCAAGTCCAACCTAGGTTATATTATAACCTGTTTTTTTTTAATATGGAGGAGAAAGAACATTAAATATTTTGACCAGCTACCTTCAGACAGCAATTCCTTGTGCCTCACAAATTCAGGATAATCAAAATTAAACTCACCTTTCTCCTAGAACATACTGGGTTAGTGTTTGTTTAATTGGTTGTTTTGGTTTGGTTTTGTTTGCTTGGGGTTTTATTTGTTTGCTTTGAGTCTGAGTTCTTACTCTGTAGCTCAGGTTGGATTGGAACTCACTATGTAGCTGAGGCTGTCCTGGGAGTTACTATTGTAATCCACACTAGCCCTAAACTGTGGCAACCCTGAGTGCTGCAGCCTCCTGTGTGCTGGTATTGCAAGTTTGAACCACAGTGCCTGTCTCTAATAAACTTTTATCTCTTGGCCCCAAACCAATCTTTTCCCAGTATGTCACTCTTGCTTTTATTAGTGGGATTATTGCCCTGTCATGTACACAGGGCAGGTAGCATGTACTCAAGAAACTCCCCCCCCCATTTTTGATATTTTTCCTCAGTATATAATTTTACTGAATAAATGAGTAACTTGATATGCTGGTTGGATAATTTTAAATAGGTCTAGTTGTGGTGAAGCCATATTATCTTCATCTTAAGTCATTTTATCTCTTTGGAGAAGGTTGGATTTTTGCTTATTTGCATTTTTAAAGATAAGACCTTGGGATAAGATGTATCCCAAGCAAGTTTTGATCTCCTGGATCTTTCTGCCTCTACTTTCCAAGTGTGGGGATCACAGATGTGTGCCACCACACTCACCTAAGTCCTTAGGTTGGTTTTGGGTATTGAAAATAGCTGCAAGTGCCACATAGAGCAATAGAAAGGAGACTATCCAGTGATACAATTTCCATTCTCCTACTTATTTGAGTTATGGCCTTAGACAGGTGGTCCCACTTAGCCTTGGTTTCTTCATCTGTAAAGTGAGCATAGTGGAGCCTAGCTTGTGAAGTCATAAAAATACTTTAATAAGGAAATATATGCAACCCTCCCCCAAAAAAACCAAAAAGTAGTGTATCATCAGAATTGGCTCAGTGGGTAAAGCCCTTGCTGCCCAAGTGTGTGGACCTTAGTTCAGATCTCCAGAACCCATCTAAAAAACTAAGCATGACAGGGCACATTGGTAATTCCAGTGCTTCTACAGTGAGATGGGAGATGGAGCAGGAACCTGGAAACACATGGGCCAGCTAGCCTGTGTACATGGCTGCAAACAAGAGACTCTGTCTTAAGCAAGATGGAAGACTAGGAACAATGGCCAAGACTGTTCTCTAACTTACACACACACTCAAGTGCCTGAAGTTACATACAAGAACATGTATATATGTGCACACACATCAGATACACATGCAACACACACACACACACACACACACACACACACACACACACACCTCATACGATAGATAAATAAAAGTTCAAAGCCCCTTCTTGCCCTTCTAATATTTCTCTGGGGCTAGGAGGGCTTTGTATCCACAGAAGATATTTAACAACTGTTTGGTTATGGAATCTGATTTACAGACTGCTGGTGATAATGGTGTGGTTTATATGCAAGCATGATTAACTCAGGGAGACCCCCCAGGAAGATAAATTGTTTTTAAGTATTTTATTATTTTATGTACAGAGGTGTTTTGCTGCCTATCTGTGCACCACATGCATGAAGTACCTGAGGAGGCCAGAAGAGGGCATTGGATCTCCTGGAACTGGAGTCACAGACTCTTGTGAGTCTCCATGTGGGTGCTGGGAATCAAACCCAGGCCCTCTGGAAGAGCAGTCAGTGCTTTTAACCATTGGGCCACCTCTTCAGCCTGACAGGCTTTTTTTTAAAAAAAAAAAAAAAATAAGCTAAAAACAGGGCATCAGGCACACATATGGTACACAGATACACAAGAAGACAAAACATAAAATTACAATAAAATAATTTAAAAGCAAAGGAGTTAAAATCAAATTAAAAATTATTTGCTGATTGTAAAAAAAAAACAAAATAAAATAGTGAGGGGGGAAAGAGTCCC